GAAAGCATTCTTACTTTACAGCATTTTTTCACACCTGCCTAAAACTTTTGTACAGTACTGTGTTTGGAAAAGAACAGCTGAGCATCCCTCTTTTTTCCTTCTTGGATTTATAATGAGCATAGAGGGATTGACCAGCTGGGTGCAGGAATGACCAACTGGATCCAGGAAGTTGCAAATGCCTCTTGGTAAGAAGGAGTGGTTTTGAAGACTATTCAGGAGGAACTTCTCATATGGAAAATTGTAGCAATAGCCATTAATTACTTGTTTCTTTGTAAGCAAGTGATTGGGCAAGTAGTTGCCATGCAATTCCAGTTTCTCTGGACCCACTCTAGCCTTATCCACTGGCTTTAAATGCAGTGGCACAAACTGCCATGGTGATGGATGGATTTGCCAGGAAAATGGCAGAAGGTGTGCAACTGATGTTAATTCACAAAGAAGCTTTTGCAACGTCTTATAGTGTTGACCTCATCTAAATAGACTGTCTGAACTAGTGGTTGATGGAATAGAAGTGGTTTTTTTCTGCCATTAAATTTGCACCTGGAGAGCTGATTCCAGAAAATGTTGCCAGGATACCACTATTTGGCAGCATTTATGAAGGAGGATGTCATAGTTTACCATATTGCAATATCTAAGAGAGTCTTCTGGATAACTTTTGGGAATTTGGAGTGGGATGTTTTCAGCAACTCTTCCTCCTTTTAATCTGATTCAGATAAGGTACCTACATGAATCAATGCTGACTTTATTTATCAGTAGGGAACTAAATGGACCAGAGATCTGACGACCAGAGTATACAGTGACTACCTACAAAGTGGACTGGATTAGGGTCAGTGAACCAAAAGTCATTCCAAACAAGGTATAGGTACTGTTGATGAGTAACATACCTGTTCTGGAAGGTGGACTTTGTTGTATTTCCCTTTGTCCAGGGACAAATTCAGAATTCTACAAACAAGTGGCTGCTAATGGCATTGCAAATCAGAAAGCACCCATTTACTAAAATGTATTACTTTATTTGTGAGATTTAGAGACCACCCAGCTACAAAATGATGCTGGGCAGCTTGCACTAAAAATAAGAACAATAAAAGGAAAATAGTAAAAAGAAAATCTCAAGTGTCTAGACAAACACACTTCTGACATACAACATCAAAAACAGAGCTCCCCAAACACCCTCTGCCAAGGCTGGGAGAACAAGTTTTTAAAGGCTTCCAGAACATCATCAAGATGGAGATACACAAATCTCTGGAGGGATATTGTTCCAGAGGGGAGATGCTGCGACAGAGAAGGTGATGCTGTTGAATTGAAGTGCACCGACTCTGCCCAGTCCACCTGGACAGGGAAAAACCATGGGAGATAGCCAGTCCCTCAAATAACCTGGCTCTGTGTCATGTAGTGATTTATAGCTGATAACCAGCACCCAGAACCCCACTGAACCCTGTGTGAACTAACTCTTCAGGATGCTATCTGCCTAACCAGCAAAGTCCCAAATAAATATAGAAGAAATATGATAGGATCTGGTCCTTTATTTGCACTATTTAGCTTCCTGTTGTTGTTGTTCGTTTTGTTTTTTAATTACAAGGATCTTTTAAAAAATATCAGGTGGGAGAGGGAACTTCACAGGCAGCCAGAGAAGTGTCTGATGGCATATTGGCGCTTATGGACATAGTATTGTCCACTCCTGCCTTAAACAATCACCACTGCTCTTTTGCAGTGGTTGTAAGTCCAACTGTCCATTAATCTGAGCGGGTTTATTAGATGGCTACATACGTAGTGCCTTGGTTATGTAAAGCTTCTACGGCGTTCCCTTTGCACGTTGCACCAAGCCATAGTGCAGAATTAGCATGGTTTGCTCACTTACTGATTGTGACTTTGCATATTGCACAAATGGGGATGCTTAGTGTGTGATTTCCTGTTCTGTGTCCTTCCCTGGGCTCTGGCTACATGGAGGTGGAGGACAGGAGAGAATAATAATGGAAAACGAACCAAGAATTGACTAAAAAAGGTTATACCTACTAAATTGAACTGCAGTTCTTATATTGGGTTCTCATTTCATTCTAAGCCATGGTTTATTGAATACACAGTCTGCTAAGCCATAAACCATAACTTATGGATGGATTTACACAACATGTTAACCCCAAACAAAACATAGTATGGTTTGATGTGTTTTACTGAACTCACTCTGGCTGGTTCAACAAACCTTAGATAAGCCATGGATTATTGTAATGTGGGAACTTCACCATTAAAAGTCTGCCATTTATGCAGAAGGTTTAGAATGGTCTTGCATGGGTTTTAGTGGTCAGAGGAGTAACTTCAAATAATTTCCGCTTAATCTAATAGAACTGGAGATAGCATCTTAGTTTATTGTATTTATTTTATGCAATAGTATCTTAAAAAAATTTAATTCAGTTACTAAAAATGCTGCTTGCCAATTTACATTCACATATTCCTTCCGTTCTATAATCTTTCTAGGCTGGCTGAACTACCCACTGGAAAAAATCAGATTTTGGAGATTCCTGGAGAACATCATTGAAGGACTGACAGGAGAAAAACCTAGAGCAGATGACATGAAATGGGCCCAGAAAATTAAATAACTCTTGCCAGGCTTATGCTGTTGTGAAAACCTGTTGCCAATTTTTTTTAAAAAGAAAAAAGCCATCAGCCAAATTAAAAGACTTGCAGAGAGATAATGGACTAAAGCACAAAGCTTTTTAAAAAGTGCTAACAGACTGCAGTTAAAAGACTCACTCCTCAAAACAATACTTGAAAATGCAAATGGATAATTCTCGTTTATTACTGAGCACCTTCTGTTAGCCACATTTGCTGATACTGAACATTGACGCTCCAAAGCCATTAGTTGGAGAAGGCAGCGCACCTTCCTAGTAACATTTGTCTTTGGCAAGGTAATGTGTTGTATCAACATGAATTTCCCCTCTGGAAATAGTTTAAGACAATATAGAATGACAAAGATAGCAAGCTAGCCCCAGGTTTTTAAAGAACGAGTTCAAAGTTGCTCCATGAGAATCAGAGGGAAAGGGATTGTCATCACCATAATGCACTTAGTGTCTGATGCATCCTTCCAGTTGCTTCATCTTGCTGTCATGTCAAGACGTCGTCTAAATGGTGTGCAACAATATTTGGGAGTCTCATCCTAGTTGATTACGGTTACTTAAAGCTGACTGTCTCCTAAAATAAAGAAGTGTCCCATTCCTTGATATCTGAACAGGCCATTGCTGTATCAGCCTATAACTAATTTGGTAGCAGTTGGGGATGGGGGGACAGAATGTGTTCTGCAGAAATGTCAGACTTAAATTACTTTCATTGGATCATGTAGTGTTCAGTGATTGGATTTATTCAGTATGATTCCTCTTCCAACATGCATTGTTTAAAATAGCTATAGAAAATCGGTCATTGTCAAATTTGAATGTTAGAAGGAATAAGTTAATGGTGTGTGTGTTTAAGGTGCTTGCTCATTCATGTAAATATCATAAAGCCTTAACTTCTTTGGTGTAATATGGAATAATATTTTAATGTGGTCTGAATGTATATAATTTATAACAAAGCAGTTCAATTATACTAATTGCATTTGTTAAGTCTTGTTGCCATTTTTGAGGGGATGGGTAAAATTGCATCTCCAGTGGTTTTTAATCAGCATATGGAAGTGAAATTAGTAGTGGCTTTTCTGTTTTGTATACAAGAGTGTCCTACAAAATACTTTTTATTTTTATGATAGACTTCTGTGCCTTTATAGGGAGATTAGATGGCTAGTCTCAGTGTCTGAAATGCAACTATTTTTCGCTGTATTTTTTTTAATTCAAGGAAAAGCTTACACATTTGCTGTCATCTGTATTCCCCCCCTTCCTTATACGTTTTGAGACTTTTCTATTTAAGTACAAAATCTTAACTTCATACCATGGCTCTGATATCTTGCCTGGATAGCATTGTGCCTTTGACACTCTAAAATCTTAGTTTAAAGGAGAGAACGCTAAAATTAACCAAATGGAAATTGGGAAAACAGATACAATTAAAAAACAGAGGAAGGCAAACAAAAGAGATCCATGTGCCACTTCTGAGGAACAATCCAAAGAAAAGGGCCACTATAGAAAAAGCAAGTATCACAGACAGTCTCTCAGCTTTCACTGTGATCGCAAGATTTCTAATTATGATCTTAAAGATTGGGCAACCTCAGTCTATTTCTTTCTCTTACTTTCAGTGTCATCCATTCCTGTGGCTTGGGTTGGTGCATTGCTGTTGATGGTTGTTTTTTTCCTTTGAGTCAGTGTTGACTCCTGGCAACTTCCTGGACTAGTCCCTGCAGTTTTCTTGGCAAGGTTTTTCAGAAGTGGTTTG